AGAAGCTGCTCTTGGTGGCATGCACGCGGTCGGTGGATAGGGGTGAAGGTGAAAAGAGGAGACAGGTGGGAGAGAAAACAGCGGGGGGGGGGGGGAGGGTAGGAGAGGGGACGGGTGTGACTAATTGTCACAGAAGGCCCCCCCTCCTCAAATCCCTTCTTAGGAAATGTCCTCAGTTTCACCSACTACGACATCCCTCTAAAATAGCACTAGAGGTGGGGCAGCTATTGTCTTCAGGCCACTGTCCCTTTTCCAATACCTCCTAATCCCCACTCCTATCGGGTTCCCTGGGGCCTGTCACCAGACAAAAGAAGACAGCTGTGTGAGGGGGCGGCCTGCAGCCTCGGTGCCAGGCTGGGGCCACACCTCCACACCAGGTCCCCCAGCCCTCCTCCCTGAGGCCCAGGCGCCCAGCCTCCGCTCCCGCCCCAGGCCCCGGTGCCCAGACCCAGCCTCTTCCTAGAGGACCCCGCTCCACTGGCCGCTTCCCTCTGGTCTTAGGTCACACCAGGATGTCGGACACCGAAGAGCAGGAATACGAGGAGTGAGTGTCGCTGGCGGGAGGGTCGGGCCCGGCGACGGAGAGGCTCTCCCGCCCCAAGTCGGCTAACTCGCCCTCTTCTCTCCCCCTGCCCGGTCCTCAGGGAGCAGGCGGAAGGTGAGGCGACACCGGCGGCCGGGGGTGGGGACTTCGGCGGCCCCCGCCTCTGGGCGCCGGTGCGGGTGTGGCTCCCGGGACGCCGCGGGCCCGGCCGGCCCCCGCCCGCCCGCGCCCCGCAGCCACGGCGCAGTGTCCCGGGGCCCGAGACCGCAGCCCGGGGTCTGGGCACCCGCGGCCGCCCCGGAGCTCCTAACGCTGTGTGGTCGCCCCGCAGAGGAGGAGGCGGCGGAGGAGGAGGAAGGTGAGGCCCGCGCCGAGCCCGCGCGGTGGGAGGGGGCGCCCCGCCGCGCCCGGCCTGACCGCTGTCCCCTCTCTCCCCCGCCCGCGTGGCCTCCCCGCCCCCGCTTGTCCCCCTCCCAGCCCCCGAGGAGCCGGAGCCGGTGGCAGAGCGAGGTAACGCGGCTGCTCCGCTTCCCGAGGCCGCGCGACGTCCTCGGCGCCTGCACCCGCCGCCCCTGCACCCCCAGCTCCGGCCCCGCAGCCCCAGCTCCCGCCCCGCAGCCCCAGCTCCCGCCCCGCAGCCCCAGCTCCCGCCCCGCAGCCCCAGCTCCCGCCCCGCAGCCCCAG